ACATTGCTTTCTGTTATTAACTCATTTCTTTTTTTTCAGACAATTATCTAATTTGAACATAACCACCATCACACATCCTTGCTTCAAATGTTTTCATGTCCTGACAGAAAGAGCGCACTGGACGCCTTGCTATTGGGGATCACAAGTCAACGTCCCATTTCCGTAGCGGTGAGTCTCTAGGGCGGAAGTGAAGGGTTGCTGGATTTGAATGCTTGACAGTTCAAAAAGTGATTGCAATCTCCTATTGTGTTGGATGAGACCCTTCCAAACCCCCTGTGACTCAGATCAGATGACATCCTGTACGCCACATATCCTTTACCCTACAGTGATCACTGGTCCGAGTACATGCTCTGACCTTTATAGCAACCACCACTGGTAATGTCCTGTCATTTATTGTGCACATAGGACCAGGTTACAATGCATTTTGCGCTTGTAAAATATAAAACGACTACCTTAATCCAGTGTCTTACTGATATACACTGTCTGAAACCAGCCATGAGGGAGACATTTTAATGTTATGGGAAAATTTTGAATGTCTATCAATGCTATATCAGCAACATTGGGAATATGGGCAAATACTGATGGCCTTTAACTCTCTGTAATGAAGAGGGTATATTGTGTGTATTTGTGTGTCTGTAGGGGCAGAGGATCGGAAGATTAATGCTGAGCTCGAGCACCAGTATCAGCAGGGTCTGGATGGGAAGTTATCAGGGAGGAACAGGAGACACTGTGGCCTGGGGTTTAGTGAGGTCAGAGCTCTCTCTTATAAGCTGCGGGTTGGCATAATGTTGATCAGTTAAGACTAGTGTATTGTGAATTACTCCTGGTAAGCTTTGCCTATGACTGAGATATACTGTATGAGCACACGTGACGTGATTAGGGGTGCTCCGATCAGGATTTTTGAGGCCGATCACAGAAAGCAGTATCTGCCAATACTGATCACCCACACCGATCTTTTAAAGCCTTCTTTTTATCATTTATACCTATTTATAGTGATACTCCAATCAAGATTTTTAGACATTTATTCAGGGTCTGAATTTCATTTTTGAAAATGGGGGGAATTCCTCTCTTAGGTGACTCTTGTGAGAGGGGAAGCAGCTTTCACACAGGAGTCCGCTACTGATCTGTGGCTGTTTACCACAAACACAACATTTATCCATTATTTTGATTTCAAATCCAAACATTGCCACTGAAAATGCTTTTTCAGCATTGCAATTATTTATTTTTTTACACAGTACAGTAATACAATCTTTCACAGACATGTTTAAACACAATAAATATAAGCAACACATTATTCAATGCTTTTGACTTTTGCACTTACTTCTAGATTTATATATTAAGTTCCTCAAGCAAGTGTCAAAACATTGAAACTACTTTTCGTACGTTATCACAAACTTACCATTGACAGAAATAGTCAGCTCTACTGCCTTTCCTTTTGCATTGAAATCTTTATTACAAACAATCCTGCAGTTCATAAAGAACTTTGTTTTTCTACCTCCACGAGTGCCATCTATTATTGCCTTGTTTATCTAAAAGTGCTCTTTCCTTTTAAACCTAGCCAAAAAGCCATATGTGTTGACTGTGAAACACAGTAGACTTTAATAATATGCATTTATGGTGTAATTACTACATTTTCGTGTCAATCCATGTTTATATTTACTGCAAACAATGCCCTGTTACTTTAATTCAGCGCTTGCAGGGCAGCAATAGACTCGGAGCGGAAACGATGTGAGATGGTCCTCACTGCAGAACACAAGATCCAGGGGGCATGATTGGATCCAGATCCAACTCCTCCCACCTTACATATACCTGAACCTACCCATCTCCACCCCCTAGATGTGGATCCAACCACGCCCCCTGGATCTTGTGTGAAACAGGCGTTTCACACATACTCCGTCTGCAGTTTTTTTTACGCACCCATGTTAATGGATTAGAGCGTTCACACTGCACACGGTTGCGGTCCGTCAGTGCGTTCCAGGTGCGGCGCATCTGCAACAGTGTAGTGATCGTTTATGTGTAGTATTCTTATGTTTGGCTCAGCCAATCATATGTCAGAAACAACGTATTCTCTGTTCCTATTGGCTGTATCACCTGTCAGTATAGGTAATGCAAATCCGGCATGTTGGGTTGTGTGTTTTACTGCTGAGGAGTTAGCACTCATGTTGAGGATACTGGAAGCCAGCTGTTATCGTCAGAGCAGCCAACTCTGAGAGATCCTATCATCTGCGTACTACTGATGGACAGGAGTATCGACGAAACAGACGACACCTCCTGGACACAAAAGAATCTCAAATTGACAGTTCTGACGTATCAGTAAGGAATGAAGGTGCTGAACTATGTGCAACATCAACCAACAGTAGACCACACAATGACATTGTACATGCACCTGACCACACTGATGGGCTGCCCAAATGCACTACTTACAGAACCAGATATGGACGACAGATAAAACCCAGAGTCATTCTGGATCTGTGATTGTACAAGGGTGTAGGCGGATCGCTGCCCTTTCAAAAGAAAATGCAATGTTCAATGCATTCCAAATGTTCAATTCAGTTTATATTCATGTGTATGTGAGATTGTCATAGATGGCTATGCGAATACACGGTATTCTTTGCACTTCAGTCTAATAGTTTATTAGCATACTAGTGTGCATATAATTTGAAAACTGAATTCCTTTTACTTAATATGTTACACAGAATTTTGTACTTGTGATAACCTAACACAAGAAAGCTATATGCTGTGTTCAAATGTGTTTCCACTTGCGTGAGCAACTTAATATACAAATCTAGAAGCCAAATGCATTTCATACGCTGTTTATATTAATTGAGTTTAAACCATATACTGTATAAAAACATGGATGTAGGGTCCGTGACGTCACCCGTAGATTTCCGAAGAGTGTTTTTGAAGCTCAAAAGTGGCTGTCGGCAGCGCGTCACTCCCGGATAATCAAAAATGGGTAAAAGCTTTATGTGCATGGAACAGGTTGCTGAAGCCACGCCCACCTAGCTCGACGGTGGTGACAGCAGCAGCAATCCACCTGTCACTCAATTGGCCACGCCCTTAATTATGCAGAACTTTAAGGCTTAATATAATTTAAACGGATGAGTTATAAAAAAATTCACCCCCCTCACAGTTGTCATCAAGGGCAAAATTTGCTATATAGACCAAAATAATTTTTTGAACCAGGCTGTAAACATGTTTTTTTCTGCTGTAAAGTTGGGCATTTTAACAAGGGGAGTTTATGGGATTGACTCCCTATTGCAGCCAGTCTCTAGCAGCCAGTCGATGAATTACAGTTTAAGTCACTTTTTTGTTGGCTTCACTAGAGAGAGCGGCAGGTTGCCGCTTGGTTTAAACGTGAATATGTCTATGAAAGATTGTGTAACAGTACTGTGATAAAAGAGGATCACAATGCTGAAAAAGCACTTTCAGTATAGGCTGACTACGTTTGGATTTGAAATCAAAATAATAGATAAATGTTGTGTTTGTGTTAAACAGAGTACCTCACCTTCAGCATTATAATTATTTCATCCGCTCTAGACAGAGACGGTGACGCTGCATGTTGTGCCAAACCTCTCACAGCAGTGTCATCAGCTTGAGATCGTTTTTTTGAGATCGGCCTTTTAGACACCGCCGATCAATCATCCCAACGTGATTATCGGCCGATAGTGATCAGTAGCCGATCAATCAGAGCACACCTAGACGTGATCAAGTCTGTTGTTGATTTGTTGTGAACTGCTGTGCTTCCTCTTCAAGCCCGATCCACCTGCTGAGAGTGCGAGCGCTGCTGTGCCCGAGAAGTCAGAGAGTCCAGAAAAGGCCCCTGAACAACCATCAGAACCACACAAGGACGAGAAAACAGCTTCATCCAACACAGAGCTAAAGAAACAGGAACAGCACACAGACTCAAAGGAGGACAAGGAAAAGACTTTTAAAATGGCATTTGTAAAATCCACATAAATGGATTTGCTTTTGTTGTCATTTCTTGATCTCCTAAAATGTTCCAGTAAGGTACTGAGAGTGAGAGCACATTTTTTTATTTCCGTTAAAATTGGAAAATTGTGGTTTTCAATTTTAAATGTAAGTATGTCTGTTGTCAGGTTATTTGGACTTGCCTGGTCTTGTTGAGAACTGTTTTTTTCTCTACAAATTAAAGGCATAGTTCATACAAGAAATGAAGATAACAGTCTCAGTCTACTCAGCCCTTATGATTTCAAATAAATATGAGGGTGAGCAGATGACAATTTCACTGAACTATTGAAGAGTTATCAAGAAAGTGAGGTACAGTAATGTGCAGAAAATGTCACTTATGTGTGTGAAAATTTAAATAAAGAGTAAAAATTCTATGATTGTGATTATAAAACAAAAAACCTTTAAAACGTTCCGTATATTTTATTCCCTCTTTTTTTCAAAAGGATTTTTTTTAAGGAAGTCAGTGTTATACTGGGAAACATGCACTGCATGTACAAACAGATATGAAAAGACTACATATTGAATAATGGTATATCTGGAACCTCAATTATGTTTTAATACAATGTCACTTATGTGTGTGAAAATTTAAATAAAGAGTAAAAATTCTATGATTGTGATTATAAAACAAAAAACCTTTAAAACGTTCCGTATATTTTATTCCCTCTTTTTTTCAAAAGGATTTTTTTTTAAGGAAGTCAGTGTTATACTGGGAAACATGCACTGCATGTACAAACAGATATGAAAAGACTACATATTGAATAATGGTATATCTGGAACCTCAATTATGTTTTAATAAGACAGGAAATAACTTTATATGTAATAACTTTGTGGCATATAAACTTTATTTAGAGCATGAGCTCCATTATCAGTCTTCATTTGAAAATTATGAATTTTTAATGATTAATCCAATACTATGAAGATGACAGTTTTGCTGAAATGAAACGCAATGCTTTTCACAATCTAAATAAAATTTTATATATTTTTTATACATAATACACAACACTGCAAAAGAATAAGTACCTTAAGTCACGATTACATGGTGATAAAAAAAAACGTCATGCAAAATTAAAAAACTTTGTCAATTATGTCAGAATTGTAAAACTGAAAGTTTAACTTTCAGAGTGCTCACCAGTAAAATGAATAAAAACAATCTCACATATAAAAAGTTATGAACATCAGAGAACCTGAATGATTGAATGTGAATTATAAATATTTGGTACAAACAAATTTATCTTTGGGTTCCCAAGAAAGCTTCTCAACACTTTTTAGCACTCAGACATGGCTTTGGCTGCAAAACAAAACATAAAAATTCACTTATAAATATCAGGATGACATTGTGCATGATTAAAAAAACGTCTCGGTTATGTATGGTAACCCTCGTTCCCTGGAGGAGGGAATGGAGACGTCACGTTGGATGACCGACGAATTGGGATCTCACTTAGAAAGGCCAATCTACTTCGAGTGTAAACTAAACGAGCCAATGCACATTGGCATGTGATTATTGCATCCAGCTGCTGCTGATCACAGCGTGAGTATAAGTAGGCAGCAGATGCAGCGCATATTCAGGTTTATCGCTGTGGAGCCGAGCCGGTGACCCGGCTGCTCAGCAGTGGTACAGGAGCTGTGGCGACGGGACGTGACGTCTCTGTTCCCTCCTTCAGGGAACGAGGGTTACCATACGTAACTGAGATGTTCCCTTTCAGTTGGTCACTCCCAACGTCAAATTGGATGACTGACAAATTGGGATCCCCAAAAAAGGGCCACAGGTACTGCCCCTTCCAGTGTTCCGTGGAAGCCACCTGCGCCCCTACTTTTTGCACAGTTGAGCAGCCCAGGAATGTGAACAGCACGAAGCGACCTCAGATGCTTCTGACTTAAAAGGAGGAGGTGGCGGGCGAGTTGCGATGGGAGTGCAGACCACCTTGTTGGTTGATGAACGCAATGTTCGCAGTGTTGTCCGTGCAGACTAGTACATGCTTGCCTCGTAAGTGCCCTTTGAAACGGATCAAGGCACGGTGCACTGCCAGCAACTCGAAGCAGTTGATGTGCCAGTGCAGTTGGGGCCCCATCCAAACCCCTGAGACTGCAAGCCCGTTGTACGTGGCCCCCCAGCCAGTGGTTGAGGCATCCGTGTGAACCACAGCATGCCTGGAGACCTGGTCTAGGTGCACTCCTGCCTGGAGAAATGCAAGGTCTGACCACGGGGTGAAGGTTTGGCGGCAGGCCGGTGTCACCTGGACCCGGAAGGTGCCGCGTTGCCACGCCCACCTCGGGACTCGGCCA